TTTTGAGCCTGTAATCGAACCCACAATTGCTGATGCTCCAGATACTCAACTAGTCTCAAGAAGGCCAGTTTTATTGCTTCTTTAATCAGCACAACAGTTTTCAGCTGTGCTAACATAATTGCAAAAAAAAATTTTTATGATCAGTTAGCCTTTTAAAATGATAAATTTGGATTAGCAAACACAACGTGCCATTGGAACACTTTTCTTTCAAAAACAAGGACATTTCTAAGTGACCCCAAACTTTTGAACGGTAGTGTACATTTAAAAACATTAACATGTAGTGTGTGTGTGTGTGTGTGTGTGTGTGTGTGTGTGTGTGTGTGTGTGTGTGTGTGTGTGTGTGTGTGTGTGTGTGTGTGCATCTATCAGTTACACATACAGGTCATTCGGAAAGTATTCAGACCTCTTCCCTTTTTCCACATTTTGTTACGTTACAGCCTTATTCTAATATGGATTAAATAAAACATTTTCCTCATCAATCTACACACAATACCCCATACTGACAAAGCAAAAACAGTTGTATTTTTATTTTTACATTTTTGCAAATGTACATATATATAAAAAAACAGAAATACCTTATTTACATAAGTATTCAGACCCTTTGCTATGAGACTCGAAATTGAGCTCAGGTGCATCCTGATCATTCTTGAGATGTTTCTACAACTTGATTGGAGTCCAACTGTGGAAAATTCAATTGATTGGACATGATTTGGAAAGGCACACACCTGTCTATATAAGGTCCCACAGTTGACAGTGCATGTCAGAGCAAAAACCAAGCCATGAGGTCGAACTAATTGTCCGTAGAGCTTCGAGGCAGGATTATGTCGAGGCAGAGATCTGGGGAAGGGTACCAAAACATTTCTGCAGCATTGAAGGTCCCCAAGAACACAGTGACCTTCATCATTCTTAAATGGAAGAAGTTTGGAACCACCAAGACTCTTCCTAAAGCTGTCCGCCCGGCCAAACTGAGCAAGAAGAAGAAGGGCCTTGGTCAGGGAGATGACCAAGAACCCGATGGTCACTCTGACAGAGCTCCAGAGTTCCTCTGTGGAGATGGGAGAACCTTCCAGAAGGACAACCATCTCTGCAGCACTCCACCAATCAGGCCTTTATGGTAGAGTGGCCAGATGGAAGCCACTCCTCAGTAAAAGGCACAACAGCCCAATTGGAGTTTGCCAAAAGGCACCTAAAGGACTCTCAGACCATGAGAAACAAGATTCTCTGGTCTGACGAAACCAAGATTGAACTCTTTGGGCTGAATGCCAAGCGTCACATCTGGAGGAAACCTGGCAGCATCCCTACGGTGAAGCATGGTGGTGGCAGCATCATGCTGTGGGGATGTTTTTCAGCGGCAGGGACTGGAAGACTAGTCAGGATCAAGGCAAAGATGATCAGAGCAAAGTACAGAGAGATCCTTGATGAAAACCTGTTCCAGAGCACTCATAACCTCATACTGGGGCAAAGGTTCACCTTCCAACAAGACAATGACCCTAAGCACACAGCCAAGACAACGCAGGAGTGGCTTCGGGACAAGTCTCTGAATATCCTTGAGTGGCCCAGCCAGAGCCCGGACTTGAACCCGATCAAACATCTTTGGAGAGACCTGAAAATAGCTGTGCAGCAACACTCCCCATCCAACCTGACAGATCAATTTTAGAATAAGGTTGTAACATAACAAAATGTGGGAATATCAAGGGGTCTGAATACTTTCCGAATGCACTATATGTATATATATTTGTGTGTGTGTCCTAGCCTACCTCTTTCAGGTAATACATTCAATGCAGTATTAGCCTTATATTTAGCTTGTTAATGATGGGTTATGCATAACCAGCTTCTAACTTGTAGCCTCTTTCTCTTGCGCAATACACAAGCACCTGTGCTCCGCTGGCCTCTCTTTAAAAAACACTCCTTAGCTTTTGGAGTCCCATGCAGGAAAAGCTAGACTAGAATAGCTTGCTGTACTTTTTTTTTGTTGCATTTCTTATACCAATAGACTGTTCGAACAGGGATACAAGCTCTTTTTTTGCTGAATGTTAAATACAGCAGCCAATAGAACTCACGGGTAGTTTGAAAGAAGAGTGAACGCCAGATGGCGGGGTAGGCTATAGCAGTTATTTATTCAGACCTATAACCATTCAATCAATCTTCGTGAAGAGAAGTGAAAGCCTTCTGAATCTAATTCTAGTCCTATATTATTCAAGGATGTCATTAGAATGATGAAGATAAGGACAGGGAAACGTATTTCATTTAACTGTTTAAAGCGAGGAAGGACTGAAGCAACAATAGAGAGAGAAAGAGGAGGTAGGCTAATAATATTAGGGGAAATATATATGCATCAGCCTACTAATTATACAAATAGGCCCTATTATGTTTCAAAATTAAAATAAAATTCGCTAGCCTATACTTGTAACTTTGTAGGCCGCATGTGTTACACCAGAATTGCATGTTCTCTTCTGCTTCATAATGGTTTGAATAATGTGCGTAATTCCATTCCATATAATACAGTATAATACAATACAGTACAGTAATACAGTTCACACTCAAAAAGATTAGCCTTCAGGAGCTAGATTCATTTATTTACCCAAGAGAGCATATAGCTAGTTAACTCTATGCGCTTCCATGTTTTTCTGTTGTGCGTAATGTGCAGTAACCTGTATCATATAGGCTATGTATTGGGTAAGTCGCTCTGGATAAGAGCGTCTGCTAAATGACGTAAATGTAAATGTAATAACGGCACAATAATTTGGGCTTTTTTGGACTTGAGTTCATTAAATGTTGTTAATGTAGGGCTCGTAACATTTATTTAATTATATGGCTCATCAGGCTCAGGTAGCATCAGGTTTGAATTTTCATGCTGATCAAAGCTCTAATCAAATCCAGACATATTTATACGTTTTATAATGCTTTTGAATGGCACTTCCGGTTTTGGAGTCTCTCCCTACTCAAGTGCAGTTAGGGTACATCAACTATAGAGTCAGAGCATTTATCCAAAGACCAATGCAGTGTGATCATTGTGAAGCTTTTGGTCACATTTCAAGTGTTTGCAGAAGGGAGAAGCCGAGATGTCCAAGTTGTGGAAAAGATCATGTCATGTGTTATAAGAGTGATGAAAATATGTAATGATGCAATTGTGGTGGGAACCATGAAGCCACATCTTTTGAAAGCCCCATGAGGGTGAAAGAGAATGTGGTGGCCAAAGTAAGGGCAGTCCAGAGCATTTCATATGCAGCAGCTGTAAAAAGGGTTGAGGGTTTCAGTGGTGCACCTGAAGAGTCCATGGTGGTGGATAGGCCTTCACTGCATGCTGCAGGGTTTGCCTTTCACCAAGAGGATCCTGATATTTTAAAGGTAAAAAATGTGGACTTTGTGGCCTTTATTGCAATGGTGATTAATGGCACTGCCAAGGTGGAAAAAAGATCTAGGAAGATAGAAATCATTGTGGTTGCAGCAGAGCGGTTCCTGGGGCTGAAAGATTTCTCTGCGAAAGTGTTACATGGAATATTGTCAAAAGCCATACAACCAACTCAGGCCCTAGTGCCTGAGAAGGGAGATATGGAGATTTAAAAGAAGGAAGAAGTGGGAGTTTTGTTTTGTTTTGTCAATGTACAATTTTATTTCGGTGGATTAAGTTAGTTACCCTATTATGTATGGATTTGCTTTTTACCTTGTTTTGGTTTCAACCCATCCAGTTGGTAGTGGCAATCTACCTTTTTGGGTTGTAGTCCGCCATAAAACCCACAGAGGAAGAAAAAGAAGAAGAAGAACTTCCGGTTTTGGCGGGAAATACCAGGTTTCCCGGGAGAAAAGTTAGGCCCTATTTATTCTCGGGATGGAACATTTCTAAAATACCGGGAAAATATTCAACGCTAATGGACATGTGTTGTCATCTGATTCCTCGGGAATAATGTAAAACAATTTCATTCATTAAAATAATCTTGAAGGAGAGAAAAGAAAAACAGAGACAGGTTTTACTGATAAAGGTGCCATGGCCACAGGGAGTATGGATAATTTATTAGTATGGCTGCCATTCTTTATTGATCCAATTCCACTTGGATTGACAGCACTTACATTTACGTCATTTAGCAGACGCTCTTATCCAGAGCGACTTACAGTTAGTGAGTGCATACATTTATTTTATTTTTCATACTGGCCCCCTGTGGGAATCGAACCCACAACCCTACCAACTGAGCTACATCCCTGCCGGCCATTCGCTCCCCTGGACGATGCAGGGCCAATTGTGCGCCGCGACAGAGCCTGGATTCGAACCAGGATCTCTAGTGGCACAGCTAGCACTGCGATGCAGTGCCTTAGACCACTGCGCCACTCGGGAGGCTAATTGCCTAGCCTGGTTGACAGAAATCACGAGTTAGGTGTCAACCAGACTTACACTTGCCCTCGAGGCTGAGCCCACCAAGCCTGGCATTAAACTAAATGTCATTATTACATGCACAAAACTAGATTTCTTAATTGAAGTCTACATGATCAAAACCACTGTCAAATTGAATTTCCATAACTGAACCATACTTAATACAATAGACATAAAATATACTTGTAACATTGTAACAATCCCAATTAAATTGATATGTTTCAGTAAGATTAGATTTTTAGCATTTATAGCAATGGTTATTAATTGTACTGCAGGGATGGAACGTAAATCGAAGAAAATTGAGGTTGTGGTGGTAGCTGCAGAGAGGTATTTGGGTGTGTGAGACTTGACATCAGAAGAGTTACAGGGAGTGTTAAGTGGTGATGTCCCATCATTTCAGGTTGAGGGCATGAGTTAGGAATGAATATATTTAAATAGTGGAGTAGGGTGGTTCATTATTAACAATATTTTTGAATTTGTGAGTGTAGTGTTAGATGGTAGGGTATTTCTTTATTTTATTTTTCAAGCAAAATATAAGTGAGTTGTACTCCAGTCTAGTAGGTGACAGTAATGCAACAAATTGGATGCCAACCGCCGTTAAACCTCATCAAAGAGGAAGAAGATTATGGGACACATTTTAGGCACCGGAAGTTGAAGACATGCAAGCTACTTCAGCTGAGCATTAGTAACTGAAAATGCCAATTGAACAGAATTTATTGCATATGTTATGTGACAGTAGCTAAATGATATAACTGCTTCTAATGTTAACTTCGTCCGTCTACTGTAGAGTTTGACCACCCGACCGGTCAAGTTGTTACCCAGCAGCAAAGCAACGGTCAAAGTTAAACAGTGTTAGCAACTAGCTAACGTTAGCCACATTGGAACAGCTGATGCATTTGGTGTTGCAGAGAAGACAGTTCTTTTTCAAAAATCAACAACTGGGGCTGTTGTATGAGGTGCGAAACTGTTAGATGGCAGCCCGACAACCCTTCACAGACTCAGACACTGCGGACGAAGCAGTGAGGTCGACTTGTGACGATGCAACGACATGCAAAAGGTAGCTAGCTAGCTAGAGTCATAGCATGTGCAAGCTGCTGCTTAGCTAGGTGATCCGAATTGCGACATTGTAGCTGTGCGTTTGCAACACGTCAATTGCCTGCCCCAGTTGTAGCCACCTGCTTACCAGCAACATAAAACGTTTATTTATTGAGAAGAAATAATCAGCTTGCCATTAGTGTTTATTCAGATTTTACACAGCAAATGACACAACCATATTCAATAAGACATATGTCATAAATGGGAGCGTAGTATTTTTTTAATACTGCATTTGGACATGCAATACTTACCATTTGTTTGATTTTCAGATATGCAACCAGTAAAGGCTACTGGACGGACCCCTATGTCCAGTATTTTGTGAGGTCGGTAGGGGAACGAAAAGCTCCAGAAATCAACAGAGGCAAGTCAATGTTGGCCAGAGACAAAAACACATTTGTTAAATTTTTTTGCTTGAAGAAGGCTTGCTTAATACTGTATTACTAAATCTCTGTTGTCTTCTGTTAGGTTACTATGCCCGTGTGCAGGGAATGAACCACCTCCTGGATGCCTTCCTTAGGAAAACAGAGTGTGACTGTCAGATAGTGAACCTGGGGGCAGGGCTGGACACCACTTTTTGGAGGTTAAAGGTACAGTCTAATAATCCCATTAAAGAAATGCATTAATCTTACAGTACAATTCATGCTTGGCCTTGGTTTTTACTTTCATTGTCTTTCATTTGTCATTTTTGTGTTTTTAGGATGAAAACCTCATGCCTAGAAAATACTTTGAAGTTGACTTTCCAATGATTGCTGCCAGGAAAATACACAACATAAAGTAAGGCATTCTACTTTTCCTCTTTAGAATAATTCAAATACATCAGTTTTTGGTTTTATTTGTTTTGATGTCACTGTGGTCTCAGTAATGTAATGTCAGAAATTGACCTGTAGAGGGAGGCAGAGCCTGTCTATAAACACTTTTGGAAATAGTCTGTCCAGCTACACTTGTAGTGTGATAATCTGTTCATAAGAAACACAATTTAGTGTGTAGTTATAATGTTGTACACCTTCTCTTCAGGACAAAACCACCGCTGTCAAAACCTCTCATTGAGACCCACTCCACAGACTCACTATTACTAGGTAATGAAGTAAAAGACATTGGCTGATACAAATCAACATAATAATTGTATGTATTTGTTGTCTCTTATGGTGACATTTGATATTCACTTAGTCTTCATTTGTATTGTCTGTGTGTGTTTCAGATGGCCACAGCCTAGACTCAGACAGGTACTGCATCATTGGTGCTGACCTCAGGGACATCCCAGGCCTAGATGACAAACTGAAGAAGTTCCACCTCAACCCAGAGTCAGTGAAAATTACATTATATTGAATATGTTTGGCCTAGCATTCACCGTTGCACTATTTTTATTTAATTTTGTTGGACAGCTTTGCAAGAGTGTAGCCCTATCCAACCGTATCAGAGGATCACCAGTTTTGCTGTAGCTGTACAGTAAGGTGTTTGGTATGGTATTGATGTCTTGGGCTGACAGTGTTCTTTCCCTGTACCTTACTTGTATTTATGGTCTTGGCTGACGTGGCTGAGTGTTCCGCAGTCAGTTCCTGATGACGATAATCATACACTTGGGTGCTCTTTGATTTGCTATCCTTTCCATATGTGCGTCAAAGAGCCCCATCTCCTTTGATCTCAGCCTATGAGACTTGGAAAAGCCCCCATACTCACTGGCCCAGTGTCAACCGAGGGTTCTGTTTTTCATAGAGCTTATTGTTTTAGTGCATGTATTCACGTCTTCCTGTGAGGTCTGGTCCACCAGCCAAGCCTCAATGATATTAGAATGAGTTTTTTTGTGGATTCAAGTGTCTTCTAAAATGTCCGCGGGTTGTGCCAAAGGCTCTGTGGATGTGGTGTTTTATGTCACAGATTCTGACATTCAAAGGAGAAATTAAGAAGATGAAAAGGAATGTTGTCTATTTCACCTTTGTTACATGTAGGATGCATCCCAGACACAAAATGTATACCTTTTTTTTTACATGCAGAACTGATTGGGAATCACCTGGCTTTTTCTAAATTGGGGAAATTTTGTTCTCCTCCTTCTAGGTTGCCTACGTTGTTCCTGTCAGAGTGTGTGCTGGTCTACATGACTCCAGATCAGTCGTCCAAGCTGGTGAACTGGGCCTCAGACACCTTCCACACAGCCATGTTTGTCAACTATGAGCAGGTAAAGGATTAACAAGATCAGACAGCGCTATGGCGAGATAGACTGCCTCTGCTGATTCCATCTATATTGCTGCACGTCTAGGCTAATTGTTTCACTCTCTGTCTAGTTGAACATGATGGATCGTTTTGGCCAGGTGATGATTGAGAATCTGCAGCGTCGTCAGTGTAACCTGGCAGGAGTGGAGGTGTGTCAGTCACTGGAATCCCAGGTACAGCACCCTCAACCTTACAGCAACTTTACAACAACACTTTAAAACACCTTCGTATTAGATCAGAAGTGACGTTACAGAATGAGCTAAATAAATCTGAAGGCAACAGTGATTATGGGGCATGGTTAGATAAGGTTCACTTTGTGACGCAAACACTGTGTGTACATGCTGAGTGGGTGCCTTCCAGGCCTGCATAGAGCAACACTGTTGTGATTAGAAGACCACAATTCTGTGTTTACAGCAGTTCACCTACTCTGTGTCTCACAAAGACACGGCGGTTGGAACCAAATATCTAAAATATGGACTCATCAGACCAAAGGACAGATTTCCACCGGTCTAATGTCCATTGCTCGTGTTTCTTGGCCCAAGCAAGTCTCTTATTCTTATTGGTGTCCTTTAGTAGTGGTTTCTTTGCAGCAATTTGACAATGAAGGCCTGATTCACGCAGTCTGCTCTGAACAGTTGATGTTGATGTGTCTGTTACTTGAACTCTGTGAAGCATTTATTTTGGCTGCAATCTGAGGTGCATTTAACTCTAATGAACTTATGCTCTGCAGCAGAGGTAACTCTGGTTCTTCCTTTCCTGTGGCGGTCCTCATGAGAGCCAGTTTCATCATACCGCTTGATGGTTTTTGCGACTACACTTGAAGAAACTTTCAAAGTTCTTGACATTTTCCGTATTGACTGACCTTCATGTCTTAAAGTAATGATGGACTGTTCTTTCTCTTTCCTTATTTGAGCTGTTCTTGCCGTAATATGGACTTGGTCTTTTACCAAATAAGGCTATCTTCTGGATACCCACCCCTACCTTGTCACAACACAACCGATTGGCTCAAACGCATTAAGAAGGAAATACATTCTACAAATTAACTTTTAACAAGGCACACCTGTTAATTGAAATGCATTCCAGGTGACTACCTCATGAAGCTGGTTGAGAGAATGCCAAGAGTGTGCAAAGCTGTCATCAAGGCAAAGGGTGGCTACTTTGAAGAATCTCAAATATAAAATATATTTTGATTTGTTAACACTTTTTTGGTTACTACATAATTCCATATGTGTTATTTCATAGTTTTGATGTCTTCACTATTATTCTACAATGTAGAAAATAGTAAAAATAAAGAAAAACCCTGGAATGAGTGTCTCCAAACTATTGACTGGTACTGTAGGTACTCAATCATGACAATTAAACGACAAATCCCAAGTGTTGATTTTGTGCAAGACATGTCCTGAAGTGTTTGCAAATGTTTGCATTTGTAGAAAGAGCGCTTCCTAAAGACGGGCTGGGAGAATGCAGATGCTCTGGACATGATGACTGTGTACAGTGTTATACCTCAGGATGACGTGGCAAGGTAAGACAGTCTGTTACATACAGTAGGCAAAACGTACGTATCATGTTATTTCTCCGTTGTCAGTTTCATATTGTTTAGCGCAAAGTTTTTTTTGTTGGTTGTTGAAAACTCTCTTTATTTAGTTTCTCCATCTTTTTTATACAGAATAGAGCGTCTGGAATTTCTGGATGAGAAGGAACTTCTGCAGCAGCTCCTCCAACATTACAGTATCTGCTGGGCCACCAAGGACAAGCTAAAGCTAGGTACATGTGGGTTAGATTACTGCCACTTAAACATTATTTGTAAGTCTTTACACTTGGATACAGAATATTGTTTTTAATTTATTCCCGCTGTTCATTACAAGATGACAAATGACACGATCGTCTGCTTGTTCCAGGACTCTCACAAGTTGCTTTCTGAACCTGGACTGGACCGTCTGTCTTAAGCCTGTTTCTCTGTGCCATGATCAACACCACCATCAGAGGAAGAAGGAACCCATTAACACCTTCACATCAGACTCCAGTCCTGTCTGTCTTCTCTGCTTCAAATAAAGTGTGGGAAACTACTGGCATCAGCAGAGTTCTACTTAATGTGTTTCCTTTGCATCCCATAAGTGCACCCACTGTCTCCCAGCATGTTTTTGTGAAAGAAAAGGGAAGTTTGCGCTGGAAGTGTGATATGAATGACAAGACATTGGAAAGGACAGTATCCCTAGCCTTCATTTCATTAAATCCATTTGTCTGAGATGGCATGGCCTGTTTCTAATGTACCTTCAGAGAACATTGAGCAAGTTTGCTGAATTTTGGAGAAAAGTAAAAGCCGGACACCGGTCAAGTTTTTAATGTGCCCTTGTGTTGTGAACTAAAAAGTGTTTGTATGTACTAAGAATTTAGAAATGTATTGCCAAGACCGATATTTTCTTATGAATAGAAATGAAAAGTTAATACATCTTAAAGATTAATTTGATTCAATTAGGAAATTGCTGGATTTGCAGTAGCAATAGATACATTAGCATGTAACAAGGATTCTAGTCTGAAAGAAATAAGAGGGGCATTTTCAATCAGAGCAAAGCAATTAAGTCCTTGCAGGTGATACAACAATACCAATGACACGTCAATGCAGGTCTATAGAGGTTGCATAAAGCTGTTAATATTTGTGTTTGAAAACCTGACCTCCATCATTTCATTAATAACTGTGGTCAACAGACTGTACATTAGATACCATGAAAGTCCATGTCATTTCCACATGGATGACACATTTAATAGTTTGAGTCACCCTCTGAGTCCACTGTGTCCTGCTGGTCAGATCCTGTGTTTTTACAGAGAAACATTAACCCAATATGACCTTGTGTACAGTGAGGTAGAGATACAGATAGCAGCACTAGAGCACTGAAGATTTAGTGATGTTAGAAAAGAGATTTTTATAACACAAATACAGTGTCCAGTTAAAGTCTACACACCCCTTGCACAGTCTTCACATTTTGCTGACTTAAAATTGTATCCCCCAAATTACTAACTTTTTTTCCTCCCAATGTACACAACCTACTAATTATAGAACATTTTCCAAATTACTTATAAATATGTAGAAATTAAAGTGACATACAGTGGGGTCTGAAATTATTTACACCCGTCATTGAGATGAGCAATAATGACTGTATAAAATAATTCAAATACTGAGCTTTATTGAATGCTCAAAAAATTGGGAAAATATTTTATACTAATACAATTGCCCCTAAAGATTCTTATAAATAAAGTAGTCAAAGTTCAGTATTTGGTCCCATATTCCTATCGCGTAACGAGTACAAGCTTGTGACTCTACAAACGTGGATGCATTTGCAGTTAGTTTTGGGTTTGTTTCAGCTTATTTTGTGCCCAATAGAAATAAATGGTAAATAATGTATTGTCATTTTTTGTCACTTTTTTTTATAAATAAGAATAGAATATTTTTCTAAACACTTCTACATTAATGTGGATGCTACCATGATTACGGATAATCCTGAAAGAATTGTAAATAATGATGAGTAAGACAGTTACAGAGGTCAAAGATCATATCCCCAAGACATGCTAACCTCTCACAATTACCAAAAAAGGGGGAGGTTAGCATGGGGTATGATCTTTGAACTCTGAAACACAACCAAAATGAACTGCAAATGCATCCAGCAAGTTTATAGAGTCACAAGCTTGATGTATTCATTGCATGCTAGGAATATGGAACAAAATACTTTATAAGAATCTTTAGGGATGTCAATAATTTGAACCCCTACCTTTTTGGGAGAAAAAATATATTACTTGTTAAACAACATTTACATTTTAGTCATTTAGCAGACGCTCTTATCCAGAGCGACTTACAGTTAGTGCATACATTTTTCATACTGGCCCCCCATGGGAATCGACCCACAACCCTGGCGTTGCAAACACCATGCTCTACCAACTGACCTACACGGGGCAACATCTCTTTCTCTGAGCAATTGTATTAGTATAACATACAATTTCCCTTTTTTTACTATACAATATATCTCAGTATTTGAATTATTTATTTTAAATAGTCATTATTGCTCATCTTTATCAAGGGTGTTAACCATTTCAGACCTCAAAAAAATGTTTGCTCAAGCTCAGCAAATTTTGTTTGTCATTGAAGGACAGCAATATTAAAATCTTGTCTCTGATTTTCACACTGATTTATATCAGGACAGAGACTGTGCCCTCAGGCCTGAGGGGAAGAAAAAGTCATTCCGCTTCCTAAGAATAGTAAAGCCCTATTTTACTGGCTCAAAGAGCCGACCAATCAGCCTGTTACCAACCCTTAGTAAAGTTTTGGAAAAATGGTGTTTGACCAGATACAATTCTATTTTACAGTAAACAAATTGACAACAGACTTTCAGCACGCTTATAGGGATGGGCATTCAACAAGCACAGCACTTACACAAATGACTGATGATTGGCTGAGAGAAAGTGATGATAAAAGGACTGTGGGGGCTGTTTTGTTAGACTTCAGTGCAGCTTTAGACATTATCGATCATGATCTGCTGCTGGAAAAACGTATGTCTATTAGAACTATTAGAACACAGAGTGTGTTCTTTAATGGAAGCCTCTCCAACATAATCCAGGTAGAATCAGGAATTCCCCAGGGCAGCTGTCTAGGCCCCTTACTTTTTTTTCAATGTTTACTAACGACATGCCTATGTCTATATATGCAGATGACGCAACACTATACACGTCAGCTACTACAGCGACTGAAATTACTGCAACACTTAACAAAGAGCTGCAGTTAGTTTCAGAATGGGTGGCAAGGAATAAGTTAGTCCTAAATATTTCAAAAACTAAAAGCATTGTAATTGGGACAAATCATTCACTAAACTCTAAACCTCAACTAAATCTTGTAATAAATCATGTGGAAATTGAGCAAGTTGAGGTGACTACACTGCTTGGAGTAACCCTGGATTGTAAACTGTCATGGTCAAAACATATTGATACAACAGTAGCTAAGATGGGGAGAAGTCTGTCCATAATAAAGCGTTGCTCTACCTTCTAAACAGCACTATCAACAAGGCAGGTCCTACAGGATCTAGTTTTGTCGCACCTGGCCTACTGTTCAGTCGTGTGGTCAGGTGCCACAAAGAGGTACTTAGGAAAATTGCAATTGGCTCAGAATAGGGCAGCACGGCTGGCCCTTGAATGTACACAGAGAGTTAACTTTAATAATATGCATGTCAATCTCTCCTGGCTCAAAGTGGAGGAGAGATTGACTTCATCACTACTTGTATTTGGGAGAGGTATTGACATGTTGAAAGCACCGAGCTGTCTGTTTAAACGACTAGCACACAGCTCAAACACCCATGCATACTCCACAAGACATGCCCCAGAGGTCTCTTCACAGTCCCCAAGTCCAGAACAGACTATGGGAGGCGCACAGTACTACATAGAGCCATGACTACATGGAACTCTATTCCATATCAAGTAACTGATGCAAGCAGTAGAATCAGATTTAAAAAACAGATAAAATACACTTTATGGAACAGCGGGACTGTGAAGCAACACAAACATAAGCACAGACACTTGCATACACACACACTATAACATATGCACTATACACACACGTACACATGGATTTTGTGTTGTAGATATGTGGTAGTGGAGTAGGGGCCTGAGAGCACACACTTAGTGTGTTGTGAAATCTGTTATGAATGTATTGTAATGTTTTTTAAATTGTAAAACTGGCATATTTTGCCGGACCCCAGGAAGAGTAGCTGATTCCTTGGCAGCAGCTAATGGGGATCCATAATAAATACAAATACAAATACTGGGGTCCAACACATAATGAAAAAGACATAAAGACAAAATACTACCGGTCAAAAGTTTTAGAACACCTAGTCATTGAAGCGTGATTCTTTCTTCGTCCAATCGGCCTCACAACCGCAGACCAAGTGTATGGCGTCGTGAGGGATAGTGGTTTGCTGATAGTTATGGTATGGCAGCATAGATTGTCTGATTTTCTCATATTTGCAAAGGCCTACCTGTGATTTGGCTGGAGGAAGGAATATACAGTACCAGTCAAAAGTTTGGACACACCTACTCATTCAATAATTTTTCTTTATTTGGACTATTTTCTAAATTGGAGAAATAGTGAAGACATCAAAACTATGAAGTAACACATATGGAATCATGTAGTAAGCAAAAAAGTGTTAAACAAATAAAAATATATTTTATATTTGAGATTCTTCAAATAGCCACCCTTTGCCTTGATGACAGCTTTGCACACTCTTGGCATTCTCTCAAACAGCTTCACCTGGAATGCTTTTCCAACAGTCTTTGATGCAGCACTCCATAACTCTCCTTCTTACTAAAATAGCCCTTACACAGCCTGGAGGTGTGTTGGGTCATTGTCCTGTTGAAAAACAAATGATAGTCCCACTGAGCCCAAACCAGATGGGATGGTGTATCGCTGCAGAATGATGTGTTAGCCATGCTGGTTAAGTGTGCCTTGAATTCTAAATAAATCACAGACAGTGTCACCAGCAAAGCACCCCCACACCATAACACCTCCTCCTCTATGATTTACGGTAGGAAATACACATGCGGGGGGTGTAGCACTATTTGGTAAAAGACCATGTCCATATTATGGCAAGAACAGCTCAAATAAGCAAAGAGAAACGACAGTCCATCATTACTTTAAGACATGAAGGTCAGTCAATATGGAACATTTCAAGAACTTTAAAAGTTTCTTCAAGTGCAGTCGCAAAAACCATCAAGCGCTATGATGGAACTGGCTGTCTTGAGGACCGCCACAGGAATGGAAGACCCAGAGTTACCTCTGCTGCAGAGGATAAGTTCATTAGAGTTACCAGCCTCAGAAATTGCAGCCCAAATAAATGCTTCACAGAGTTGAAGTAACAGACACATCTCAACATCAACTATTCAGAGGATTGCTGCAAAGAAACCACTACTAAAGGACAACAATACGTAGAAGAGACTTGTTTGGGCCAAGAAACTTGAGCAATGGCCATTAGACCGGTGGAAGTGTGTCCTTTGGTCTGGAGTAAAAATTTGAGATTTTTGGTTCCAACCGCCGTGTCTTTGTGAGACGCGCCGTGGGTGAACGGATTATCTCTGCATGTGTATTTCCCACCATAAAGTATGGAGGAGGAGGTGTTATGGTGTGGGGGTGCTTTGTTGGTGACACTTTCTGTGAAGTTGGAAGTTTACATACACTTAGGTTGGAGTCATTAAAACTTGTTTTTCAAACACTACACACATTTCTTGTTAACAAACTATAGTTTTGGCAAGACACAATTACTTTGTGCATGACACATGTACTTTTTCCAACAATTGTTTACAGACAGATTATTTCACTTATAATTCACTGTATCACAATTCCAGTGGGTCAGAAGTGTACATACACTAAGTTGACTGTGCCTTTAAACAGCTTGGAAAATTCCAGAAAATTATGTCATGGCTTTAGAAGCTTCTGATAGGCTAATTGACATCATATGATTCAATTGGAGGTGTACCTGTGGATGTATTTCAAGGCCTACCTTCAAACTCAGTGCCTCTTTGCATGACATCATGGGAAAATCAAAAGAAATCAGCAAAGACCTCAGAAAAGAAATTGTAGACCTCCGCAAGTCTGGTTCATCCTTGGGAGCAATTTCCAAATGCCGGAAGGTACCACGTTCATCTGTACAAACAATAGTACGCAAGTATAAACACCATGGGACCATGCAGCCGTCATACCGCTCAGGAAGGAGATGCGTTCTGTCTCCTAGAGATGAACGTACTTGTTGCGAAAAGTGCAAATCAATCCCAGAACAACAGCATAGGACCTTGTGAAGTTGCTGGAGGAAACAGGTACAAAAGTATCTATATCCACAGTAAAACGACATATCGACATAACCTGAAAGGCCGCTCAGCAAGGAAGAAGCCACTGCTCCAAACCGCCATAAAAAAAGCCAGACTACGGTTTGCAACTGCAC